CTCTCTGTAAAGGGCAATATGCTGACTCTCTGTAAACCGCTTAGAGAGGCCTGAAAGGCCTATGAAGCGGTATATAAGTCCACTGCTATTGCTATTGCTATTGCTCAGCAGCCATTTTGGAATAGTAATAAATGCTCAATATTCCCAATATGCCATTTAGCCTCAAAGGCTCCTTCTAGAAGAGTGAATGGAGTAGTGTGCATTTAAAGAAAGGAACATTGATGGTAAATGTATTTTTCTGAGAAGCAGATCTTACAAGTGAGATCTTTTTGGAAGTAAATGAACCCGATTTAACTGAATTTTCAACTGCAGCATTAGCTCTGAATTACTGAAATGTTTATTGTGTGAGGGTAACTGGATATAATTCAAAGTACACACTTTGTTCAACATTTTAAAGCATGGATGATTTAGGGTTGGTAAAGGGGGATAATATGCTATACTCAGCGATATTCTGCGATAATTTCTTTACAACCATAACACTAAAAGCAGCTTTCATTATTTCTGCCACTAGAAGCATTGTTTCTAGTCCTTCACATGCCAGTGGGACATCATTCACATTATATCTTCGCTTGCTAGTTTTCGTTTTTGTTTTTTTAACAAACATCTTTAACTATTCACTCTGTGCATCCTGGTTAAACAATCTCAGCAACAGAGATTTTCAAGTCGATTATTTACAGGAATTTGCATATTTCATTGAGGAGCAAGCCATATTCTGAGAAACCTCTAGTCTTCTGTAACAATGCTTGATCTTTTCATTCTGCTTCTTCTCATTCTGAGCTCTTCCTCAGTCTCTAAGCCATTGTTCTTCTCCTTACAGCTTTGTGTTCCGCCCTTCTTCAGTTTTGCTTTCATATTCTTCATTCCAGTCTGACTTGCTCTGACTCCAGAGCAGACCAAACTAACAAAAAATAATAATTAAAAAATTCCTATACTTATATAGGCTTTATATCTGCTACCCCAATCATAGTTTTACAATGTGAGCTCTCAAATGGCAATAGGGTCTGTTTTCACTGATTCACTGAGACTAATGAAACATGATACTGACAAGCATTCCTTTTCTCCCCAGTTAATCAATGTGTCGCTTTACAGAATTTCTTGCTAAATTTCTTGCACAAATTTAATTACAAGAATATATGTATGTAGTTAAATTTACTGGAAAAGTCATAAATTGTAACATTTACAGTTTTTCATTTTGGCCCCACTTTAATTTGTATATATTTTATAACACATTGGGTCCCTAAGATCAGAAATTCAAATAGGTGATTATGGGATAATCCTCTTATTACTAATATTCAGGCACCAATTATCCAGTTAGAATAATTGTAGATTAATAAAAGGAGTATGTCAGTATCCTGATGTGATTATTCAGTTATTAATTACATTGCAGTATTAATTAATACTGCAATG